ATAATTATATAATTATATGGAACCGTAAAAAGTATCATTAAATGCACAGAGGTATATACAATGCAAGGAACCCCAGTGTATTTTAAAATGAACATAGAACACTTAGAAACATTACTTACATCAGGAACTTCAAGTATTTTTATTTCCTTGAGCCATAGGCAAGAAAAGATGAAAATACATTTGGCTCTTTTCTTAACTGTGCTAAATATAAATAAGCTTTGCTCTCATTGGGCCCTTTGAGAAAGGCAAACAAACTACCAAAGCCAGTGTATTTATACTTGTTTTATGTAGGTTATAAACTACTTGTATCACTTTTTCACCAAGTCCTTATAGTTAGAAGTGCAGATCCATAAAACTCGACAAACATCTTTAATCCTACTTCATTTCTCTAAACTTCTGAGAATGGCCTTCAGTTTTGCAGGCTTTATCCTTTCATTATAATGCTTGGTATGCAGAAGATACTTAAATTATCTGTATATTTGACTAATATGAGTTAGTTTCTAGTCATGTTTGAAATCTTACTGTGTACGTACTTTTAATTTAGGTACTTTTTTTAAAAGTGGCAAAATCTATGAAAGGCAATCTAAGGAAAGGCCAGAGTACTCCTACAGGGAGTACACACTACATAATAAAATAGTGAAATATGTAATACCTGACTTTCCTATCTGAATGGCTATGAATAGCTCTAAGAAAAAGATTAAATGGGGGGAAAGGGTCCTGAGTCTTAACAGTTTCACTAGAACAGAGTAAGCAAAGGTTAGATTTTATCCTACTGAGAAAAAAAGTACATATGATTTAAAATATGAGGAAAACCAACACGATCAAATCAGGAACAAACAAAAATACAGTGAATCAGTTACTAGATTAGATAATAGTTATAAGAGATTTTTTAAATATATACTCTGAGATCTAACAGAAGACTATGGCATTAATCAGAAACATGTTATTAAGCAATAACAAATGAGAGTCTAAGAAATGGGAAAGACAAGAGATGGTCTAGAAGTAGAGTACACAGAAGTGAAATCAAACTCCATTACAGAAGCTAGGTAAGTTCTAATATATGTCTGAGAGGTGATCCTTGTTGAGAAAAGAGACTAAAGAAGAAGAAATAATGGCTGAGATTTTCTAAGACATGAATAAAGGATGAGTAAAGTCTCATAAAACTTACTATTTTGGAGAATGGTGAAGAAAACAATTAAGGAAGTTATAAAATTACACTGGGAAGGAAAAATCTACCATTGATTAAATATTAATATATAAGAAATTTAAAAAAATATTTGATAACTGTTAATTTGCTTAGGCTTGACCATGTTTACATATTGTCATAAATCCTAATTTTTTTTAAAGATTTTATTTATTTATTTGACAGACAGAGATCACAAGTAGGCAGAGAAGCAGGCAGAGAGAGAGGAGGAAGCAGGCTCCCTGCTGAGCAGAGAGCCCGATGCGGGGCTTGATCCCAGGACCCTGGGATCATGACCTGAGCCGAAGGCAGAGAGAGGCTTAACCCACTGAGCCACCCAGGCGCCCCCAAATCCTAATTCTTACATGAAAATAACTAATGAATAAAATGTTTGGGATATGCTTCAAAGTATATGGGAAAGGAAATAGATGTGAAACAAGTTTGGCCATGAGCCCATGACCACTGGAACTGAGTAACTGCTATGTGAAGGTGACTGAGCTTGCGCACGTGTTGGATGTTTTCTAATAATAAAAAGTTAAAAATAGAAATATTTTAAGGGAAACAAACACTCGAAATTCTTTATACCAGTAAACGTTGAAGAGCTGAGAGCAGGTGAGTTCCCAAACTGCTGAGATAGACCAAGTGCTCACCCGGCTACCCTCGAACAGTAACAAGAGGAAATGTAATATAACCATGATTTAAAAAAAAAAAAAAAAAAAAAAAGGCTAGCACCAGAATGGAAAAAGTATAGGGCCAGTCTTACTTAATTGATTATGGCTGTAAAAATCTAAGTAAAATACTGTCAAATAAAATTCAGTGTGTTGAGTTAAAAGAATTTTGTATCATGAAAAAGTAAGATTTACCCTAGGGCTTATAGAGGTGGTTAAATGTTACCACTGTTCTCTCAAGTGAATGCAGGACATAATCAAAGGGATTTCTAAAAAAAAAAGTCAATAGATGTTGGAAAGTACAGAATAAAATCATTCATTCATAATCTCCCTCCCCAAAAGAAAACACTCTTAGCAAACTGAAAGTCAAAAGCCTTTTCTTTAGCTTGATAAATATTATTGGAAGCCTACAGCAAACATTTTTATTTAATACTAAAAACTTAGAAGCTTTACCATTAAAGAAAACAATATGATACTTCCTTGCAAATACTGGTTAGAATGCAGAACTATAGGGTTCTAGCCAGTACAATAAAAGCAAAAGATGAAAGAAATAGAAAAGTTGAAAAGAAACAAACCTGATATTATTGGTGGATAAAGATGTAGCTGGCTTCCCAGAGAATCCACAAATTACTAGGAACTTAACTGCATGGCTGGATACAAGTTCACCATGTGAAAATCAGTCACTGTCCTATGTATCAACTGAAACCAAGCAAAATGTAATAAAGAGAGGCCATTCTTAGTAGTAACAAACACTAACATTGAGAAATTACCCTAAAATGAAAGTGCCAAAGACAATAAAGAAAACTATAAAATATAATTGAAAACTACAAAAGATATGAACAAAGGGAGAAAAGACCTCATGTTCATGAACAGAAAAACTCAAAAAAGATGTTAATTTCCTCAAACGTGTGTGTGTGTGTGTGTGTGTGTGTGTTCGGCACAAGCTAACCAAAATGCCAATAAAACTTGTATTTCTTGACAATCCAGTTTCACATGAAACAGGATGGGGAGGGATAGAGGGATAGAGGTATTTGGAAATGAGTATAAAAACGAAAATGGAAGTATGTTTGAAGCACAAAAGAAAAATGAAAATGAATGTAGAGATGGCCAGGTCTCCTGTAGATACTTGCTTTTTCAGATTCCGAGACTTATCAAAACCTTATGGGAATTAAAACATATATGAGGAAATACAAAAAACATATTAAAGGACCAGAGAGTTCGGAAACAGGCCTGTATATATGAGGATTTAGTATATGATATAAAGGAAGCTCAAGTCAATGAGAAAAGATGAGACTATCCAATTAAAAAAGGTAGCTATCCATGGGAAAAATAACTAAAATCAGATCTTTACCTTACATCTAAATGAGATTCAGATGAATTAAACAACAAAATGTAAAAAATAAAAATAGAAAAATGTCGGAGAATGTTATCAAAATGCTGGGTTAGAAAAAGCATTCTCAAGATTCCAATTAAGCCAAAAATAAAAGACTGATCAATTTGATTATGGGTAAACTATACTTCAGTTTACAAAAATGCCTACAAACAATGTTAAGAGAAATCAGAGACTGGAAAAAATATTTCCAACCTATCCTACAAATAAAAGAGACAAAGCCAAGAAAAATGGCCAAAGTATATTATTAAACAATTTCAGAGGAGGAACTATAGATGGACCTAAAACCCAGAGGATTCTCCACCTCCCTGATAATAGAGAAAATACAAATTAAAACAACATCAGATAGAATTTTTCACTCATCAAATTAGCAGAAGCATGTCAACTTTAAAATGATGAAGAGAGGGGCACCTGGGTGGCTCAGTCCATTGAGCGTCTGCCTTCAGCTCAGATTATGATCTCAGGGTCCCAGAACTGAGCCCTGCGTCAGGCTCCCGGCCTAGTGGAAAATCTGCTTCTTCCTCTACCCTTCTGCCTATCTCTCTCAAATAAATAAATCTTTAAAAAAAAATAAAATGATGAAGAGAAGCAAGTATTCTCCTGGGAAAGGTATAAACAGGTAACAACCACTATGAGAGAAATACCATAGCATCTTTAAAACTAAAGATGGGCGTGCCTGTGACCTAGTTTCTACTCATGGTACTTCTGCTGGTGCGCACAAGATACGGACAACGGGTATGGCCATCTACAGGGAAGAGAGGACATCCAGTACGCACACAGCACATGAAGTCACAAGCTGGACTGAAATGTACTGATACACCAAACCCCGGGCGGCTGGACCTAAATGTGTAACATGTTTTACCTCAGACAGGTTACCTCTCACACTGGGGACTCTGGTCTTTTTGTATTAAAGTTGTGCAACATCTGTAATGGCCTAATTGTATCTGACAATAATAAGCTCAAAACTGTACACCCAATAGTTTTTAACAGAATAGTGAACACGGGGTATAAAACTCTAGTTTCATTTCGACCAGCATCACCACCTGGAACAATTCATTTAATCCTCTGCCTTCTTATCACTGAGAAGCCACCACAGGTTCCTGGAAAAAATGGGGTTGCCAGTCCAGCCTGATGGGGAAGTCCACCCTTCTAAGTGCGCGTGCATGTGTGTGTATAAGAAAGAGCATGTGCCATGTTTTTCCAAGACTTTTTTCGAGAGTACTCTAATGACAAAGTTCCACTTCAGTGCCAAAAATAATTACCGAATATGAAATTCATTTTGAAAAATTTTGGACTGCACTTTGAGCCATACAGTTCCATTTCAAGTCACATTCTGGAAGTTCAATTTAACCATTTGGGATGGTTAAAAAAAAAATTTTTTTTCCAGATCCTTTCACCACCTCTACTCGTCCAGAAGCCTGTAGCTGGGTTCCTCATATTCTTTTTCCTGTTATGCCCCCCACCTCATTCCCAACATCATGTCTTCGATAGCCATCCCGTCTGTTGTTGACCCTCTCGTTTCATCTGGGATATTAAGCTGAGTATCTGATAAGCCAGTTTGGGAGATCTCACGTTCGAGAATGAACGTCACCTTTATGCTAGCTTCTTACCTCTCCTCCTGGGCCAGCATTTCATTCATTACAAAGAGATGTCAATGCAGTCTACTTAGCTTCTATGCAAAAATAGGATATTCATTTCCTTCGAAAAACTCAATCCCTTAGAAAATCTGAAATAGCTTCTTTTTTTTCTCCTCTCCAAGGTATGGAGCAGTTTCAGCAGGAATGTTGTGTGCCCTTACCACCCTGTCCCAGCAACTGGAGAATGAAAATGCTGTGGATGTTTTCCAGGTTGCAAAAATGATTAATCTTATGAGGCCTGGAGTATTCACAGACATTGTAAGTACTTTGTTTCTCTGTGAAACCTGTTCTGTCATCAGGTGAAACTCTGGCTCACACTTGAATTAGAACACTGGTGGTCCCCTGGGGATGGTTTTGCCCCCCCAGGCGATGTTCAGCAGTGTCCAGACACTTTCTCATTGTCACAACTGGGGATGGAGGAAAGCGCTCCTTGGAGCCCACCCAGAGACGCTGCTGAACATCTTGCAATGCGGCAGACAGAGCTCTACGACAAAGAATTACCTGCCTCGAAACGCCAGTGGTGCTGAGGTGGAGAAGCTCGGTTTTCTAGAGTATGACACTCTCCAGTTACAATATAAAGATCTGTTACGACCTTACCTCACTGTCAACAGAATTGAGCTCCAAACTAGCAACAATCAGAATGACATGCAGAATGCATAGGTCTTGATTATAAAGGCTCCAAGTCCTTTTCTTGAAGTTTCTTAACAAAAATGTATATTCTCGTTTTTTACAATTAGATTTTTAATTGGTCTTGCTACCTTAGATGAAATGAGTCAGCTGTTCTTTGTCTCAAACGGTCTTCCTCTTGTTTTTCAGGAACAATACCAGTTTGTCTATAAAGCGATGCTCAGCCTGGTCAGCACTAAAGAAAACGGAAACGGTCCCATGACAGTGGACAAAAATGGTGCTGTTCTCATTGCGGATGAATCAGACCCTGCCGAGAGCATGGAATCTCTAGTGTGATTGGAATCCCGGAAGGGCACTGAATTTGTAAAACTTCTGAAGACTGAGAACTTTTTTGAGGCCTTTTTTGCCAGACTCTAGGTTATACAATAACCCAGTTACTTTTTTACACTGATAAAAGTTTTGATATTTATTTTTTGCCATTTTATGTCTTAATGGTATCCTACTGAGCATTTGCACCTCTGTTCATTTCACACAGTGAAACGCAGTTTTCCCTAGTTTGCACTATACGATCAGTGTTACTGCCTATAATCTAATACTAAAGCCCTGATGTGACATTCCATGACAACATACATGCTACTTTTTAGTTCAGTACAGTGAAGGTCTTTGTTATGACAGTGAATCTTGGTTTATGTTTATTATTATTATTATTATTGTTATTGTTGTTATTGCTAAAGCAGTTGCATCCTCCTAGCAGGCAATGCTGAACTTTTCCTCAGTCCTCTCCTATTTTTTTCAGGCACTGCTCCATACTGTCTGCCTTCTGTATTTTAATGGAGTGAATGGGCATTGTTTTCTTTTAAGGAATAGCAGGTTCCTGGGAGCTACTAAGACAGTCTATCAACCTCATGGCCTTGAAACAGTTCTACTTATGATGGTGAAGGTATCCATTAAGAAATTAGAAGGCTTTAAGAGCTTTATGTGAACATCACTTATTAGTTAAAGTTATATTCATAGCCTAAAAAAAATGCCCAACTGTGTCAAAATAAAGGATATCTCTGTATTACAATTTTCACAGTAGCTATGTGGATGGTGTGTGTTATTTCCATCTTGACCCTCTGAAATAGCTATACCCTACAATGAGGGCTATCTTTTACCATAGAGATATGGCAATATTTTACACATCTCACCTATTCCTTTAGTAACTCTCCATTCACACTTCTTGGTTTCTAATATCACACCTCATGGCAGGTAATATAATGAAAATTTTTGCAGGTGTGTAATTTTGAAATTAGTCCTCTAAAGTATCCCTATTACTTATAGCTATCTAATAAAAACTACCTATATAGTTAACATTCTTTTCTTTCCTTCTTTGCCAAATGTTTCCTAATAAATCCCTTAATTACATACATTCTTCTACTTGGGATGGAAGTGAAAATACTGTATTAGCTAGTCTGGGATAGATTCCCAAGTCTTATGTAGATTCCCACACATCGATAAGTCTGATTCAGAGAGAGAAATCAGAATCTTAAACAGAAGGAGAGATCAACATTCTCAAGTAGATTTTAAAAGAAGGAGATGTGTCTTTGTGTGCTTTTGTGTTGTGGATCCTCAAGAACAGACACACTTCACAAGAGGCTGATAATCATTACACAGAACCCAAGGAAGTTACGAGATCTAGCCTCTGGAGCCATATTTACCCTGCAGTAACTACATAATTGGGAAATTAGGAGCATTAATAAGAAATATCAGTTCAGTTAGAAAAATAAGCTACTACTGAGATCTGTTCTTGTATTTCGTATTTGCATTTGAGGAATAACTTCTGTTAGAAGTGAAATCATCACCACAAAGAAAAGGCCTATCACAAAGACAAAGGATTTTGGTTAATTTTTATGTCAATAAACTTTGACCAAAAAAAAAAAAAAATCCATACTGGCTACTATCATACTATGTGAATAGGCTCTATAACATTAATGATAATCAGTGCTGAGGTTCTATTAACCTTAAGTTGGCTGTCTGTGAAGTTTGTCAGAGTGGTGCTGTGGAGTTAAAGCTGCTAAGGAGACGCTACAGGCCCAAGTTTGGGAGTTCCAATGCACAGGCTAGGGTGATAGATTTTTCGTGATCTATGTACCTGCCAGGGGTAATCTCATGTTTTCATCACAGAAATTCTGCAACATGGAAAACAGTCCACTGTTCATTAACTGTATAGGTGAGGCTTAAGAAAAGGTGTACAGCTGAGCAGTTTGCTAAATGGTATGTGTTAGAGGAAAACAACACCTTTGCAGCCCCTCTGCCCCCATCACAGGTAAAATACCAGGAAGCTCTACCCAACACCTAAGGAAGAAAGCTTGAACATAGGAACACCACCACTGCCAGAGGCTGAGAGGAATCAGGAAGGACAAGGTTTCAGATCATGGCAAGAGCTAGATCATTTCAGTCAATTAAGCAGGTTACACTTCATTTATATAATGACAGAGGCGTGAACTCTTTTTAGTAGTTGGCACATACTGGATTTTCGGAAGTGATGTTCAAGTTGGGGCTCATGGTCCCCTGGTAATTTTTTCTTATATAAGTGAACAGTGGTTAGAAAGCAGGGAGTGTTTCCTTCTGTGCTATTTACAGAGGGCTCAAGTCCTGCAAAGGCCTATGTTCCAACACAGTCCTGTGACCGTTTCTTACACAGGTATCATAGTCGAAAGAAAGATTGCTAGTAAATAGAAACATTTCAAAGGGTGGTTTGAAGGTCTCTGAGAAAATATGTGACCATAGTGGGCCTGAACCTGTCCACAAATCCTGACACTGAAATCTGAGCAACTGCTGTTTGCCCTTCTTGCCAAAGTGGTCCAAACACACTTCAGTAAGGACAATTCTACTCAGCAGTTCCTCACTTTCCCCAGAGAGTGTATCCTGAATATTAGTCTTTGTTTGTTATCGATGTTAATGTTCTTGCATCTTTCCAGAGGCACAGAGTTTTTCAAAGACGGTATTCTCTTTGAGACATAAACACACTGCTTAACTACACAGCAAGGTTATTATCGCCTGCACTCAGGGGGAAAGGAACTAGCTATTGCAGACTGACATGTGCTAGCTTATAAAATAAGCTCACTGCGTATGACTTCAGCTCGAGGCGAACAGAAGGCACACATCATAAGATACTGAGTTGTACTGATGGGACCAAGTGGCCATGCTGGGCATCAGAGGAGACCCACATTGCCATCAGGAGAACTCTCGCATCCAAAAGCCACATCATCTTTTATACGTGTGTGTGTGTGTGCATTAAAAGTTACTTCTGAATCTCAAGAATAAGATTAATTGAACTGGTTTTCCTAAATTTGTATGCCTTGGAGCTTTTAGAGTCCGTTTCGAGTTGAAGAGTCCAGCACGGTCAGAGAAGGTTACGGTGTTCAGGGTCTGGCTGTTGGAAATTTTAGCCCAGAGTGACATACTGAAATCAACAAATAACCTTAATTGTTTTATAATGACACAGCACAACTGCCTTGTTAGCAATTTTTTCTTAAATGCATATATACTATATTTAAAAATTAAGATATAGATACCAATTTACCAAAGATACATATTACTAATTCTAAGCAAAAAATAAACCCAAACTCATCACAATTTAAGAAATAATAATCAAAATGTAGTTTGTCTTAAGAATTTAGCAGTTATACTGGAAAATGCATTTTCAACTCCTGTGTTCTGAAGTTTATGTTCAAATGGTGCCAGTGAATTTTTATATGAAGGGAAAAATGCCTGCTTTTTTTTTTTTTTTAAAGAGCTATAATTTCACTTACCCCTTTGCGCTTTCCCTTAGTTGCCACTAACATGCAATATTGGCTTTACTTATCTCTAGAAAGAAGGCATGCTACAAATAGGAAGGAATTGTTATAGTATTTGGCCTCTACTTTGTCTTAGCTGTTAAACTGTTTTTAGTATTTTTGTTAAATATTTGCAAAGGGAAGCATTTTCTACAGAGGATAATTAATTTCAAGAAAAATATCTTGAGTTTTAAGAAATAAACATCTCCAGAAAAGGAGACAGCCGATTTTATAAAATGTTGCAACTCTCCAACATTTGGGGTAGTGACTCCTTTTTTGTTAGGACATTTGAAACTAGCAAGCAGCCATTGTTTCTAAAAAAGAAAAAAGAAAAAAAAACCTCAGCCTTCATGTTAATTCATGTTTCTTTCACTTCATTTTGAAATAGCTAAAATCATTAAAACTGTAAATATTTTGTTGCTTGGATAAGCATCTTCTGGGAACTTTGTATCTATGGTATATAATCATAGAATTTTATATTTTCATATAAAGCTAATTTTTTTCTAGTTTCAACTCCGTCATAGTTTTTTGTTTTGTTTTGTTTTGGGGGGGAGATTATTTTGGGGGTTTTTTTGTGGTGGATATGTGAATTCAACTTTCTGTGTATTGAAGTAGCAAGAACCATCTTTGCATTCCAAAAGATCCAACATGTGTTATTTCTTTGAGGCAGTGATTGTGAAAATTGGGTTTTCTTTCTTAATTCCATTGACCATTTGTGCAATAGGAATTAGACATAATTAGTCACTGAATACATTCGTTGCATTGACCCATTTGGAAAAAGTGGTTGGTTTTGTTTTGGGGTTGTTGTTTTTTTTTTTTTCCTAATTTGTTCAGGGGGGAAGGGGTTTTGTAACCTGAAATTTTTCCCTTTTTTCTTCTTCTGTTTAAAAACATATCAAATCATTCTATTATAGTGTTATTTAATATGTAAATTGTATTGCTATACATAAAATAAAGTATGGTTTTTGATGTATTCATTGGTGCTGAGCATTTCTGTGAAAATATGGCCAATAAAATTGTTACTAGTCTCCCTTAACAAATCACATTTATACCTGCCAACTCTTTATCTTCGTTTTCATGGTACTAAGATAAATGTTAAGAGTATCTTTACACAAGCAACAAACCAAAAAGAAATGTCTTTTCTGAGTTCTTCCATCTTTAAAGAATGAAGAATGACAGCTTTACCTACATATGGAATCAAACCTTATTTGCATTATGAACCACCTAAGTTATAGGCAGAATTACTATTTTTTAGCAGTCTATCAACTAGATTTATAGCAACTTCTCCCTCTTAATTATTTACTATGTTGGACAAAGGATGTATCCTGCCAAGACTATTGGAAAATCTATGAGATGTATGTAGAATCACAAAAATTGCTTCTACTTATAAGCAGTTTTGACGTTTCCGAACAGGGAGGAGTACACAGGTCTCAAACTTGGCAGCTTGGGCCCACCATTCTCTGTGAACTTGCAGTGGGGCCAGGAGCTCAGTTCTTATTACCAGGGCCCCAATTTTCTTCCCACAGGGGTGAAAAGCTTACATTTCATTCTCCCTAAGTAACTGGGAATTTAAGAAACAATATTAATCTCATCTAGTCTACTGCTATCTCTGAGACCAATTACAGCAAAAAGAAATAATGAGTCTCTCTGATGATAAACCCTAGTCTTCCCCAAATTACACCCACAGTGACTTAATACTCTGTATCACGGAGCATGGGACAAACTGATGTCCCATAGATCATACATCCACAGATGTATGTTATTTGGCCCATAATTTTAACTATTTTTAAATTTTATTTTGTTTGTTTGTTTAAATAGACTCTATACCCAATGTGGAATAGAGTCTATTGGAATGACCCAATGGTCACACTCACGACCCTGAGATCAAGAGTTGGATGCTCTACCAACTGAGCGAGCCAGGGGCCCCATGGCCCGTAATCTTAAAATTTCACATTAGCTACCTACCAACATCTTAAGAAATGGAAACTTTCACATTAAGATTCAGATTTCAAACTCCTTTCAAAAATGTGGGCAGTCTTAATACAGCAGGTTCACATTCTCACATGGAACTAACAAGCTGGAGAGGGAGGCACAGTTGCCCCTTTTGATGCTGCTACTATCCAGTTCACCAGAGTCTCCCCAACCTCTCCCATAACCTATGCCTGCCCCCTGTCAGCCATTTAAATAACCTGCCTGGATTCTATAAGCAGTTGCACAAGAATTTTGAGATCATCTTCCATCACTAAAACCCTAAGAAGTCAGCATGAGGAAAGGGAGCTTCCACATTCCTAATTACCTCTAAGTCCACCCAAGATGGCTCTGTGCAGAAGCAGTTATAACTGCTCAAAATAATTAAATTAATTCTCTACTGCCTGATTTTTACTGTCCAGAATAGAACTATATACAAGGAAGTCTCATTTCTACTACCAAGAATGGGGCAAAGAAACGAGTACAGAAAGCTACTGCAAAAACTCCCATTTCTAACAGGTAACATTCAGATTGTTAAGAACTACAAGATTTAGCAACAAGTTGCTAGGAACTATGCCTAGATTCAGAGACAGGATTAAGGACATTGGTTTTAGTATTTATGACTATTGGTAAGAGAGCATAAAGGCACTAGCAAATAACTAGAAGCTGGGAACTGGCAAGGGAAAAATGGCTTTTGTGATCATGAAGTTCGGCAAGAAAAATAATCAGAAAAGAAAGATAATTAGACCAGCAGTTTATCTGAACCTAACAATAACATTATGTTGCTCACAAATTGAAAAATAGGAAATTAACTTTATCTGATTTATGGTAATTTGAAAAACATTCGACTTCAACAGTTAAATGGCCTATAAACTAATTATCTTCAATCCCTTCCCCACATTCTGCTTATGCAGGGCATAAAGTCAGGCTTTGTGGCAAGCACCAGCAGGCCTTTCAAAGCTTAGGCGAACATTCTAAATCATAGATAAATTTAGCATTCTGTTAGAATTCATCCCAAAAGCATTTGCTTAATGTCTATCACAGGGCACATGTTAGTTACACCCTGTACAGAATGTAAAGTTGTTGGCAGAGGCATTTCAAGTCAGATAAGGCAAAAGTTACAACTTAATCCTAAAA